CATATCTCTATTAGGGACCGAGATATAGCACTGCAAAGACTCAAAATGGTCCATTTTTAGACCCCTGTAAAATCGGAAAGAGTTGTCTGACCCAAAAGGTCAAAAGGTCATCAGATAGACAAGATAACATACTATCATCGTAGTAAATATGAAGGTCATCAAAGGTCAAGGTCATGAGATATACGCGTTCAAACTTTGAAAAAAAACGTCCGGTCGTACAAAAAAGGCAAAACTGAAAATCAAAATTATGCTGCCTAAGGATTGTAGACGGACTTGAAACGTATCGTTTGACACAAAAGTTATGCAAATCGAATGAAAAATGACCTCTGAATAGCAATTTCTGCAAAACGAGGCAAACCAAAATGGCAGCCAACATGTTACTTCCGGTGCGGATTTTTCTAGTTTAATAAGTTTGTATTAAGGCTGGTAATATAATGCATATGTTATTTTTGACATAACTCAATTCCACCGGAAGTGATACCACCGGAAGTACTAACATCGAAACCGGAAGTGATAAAAAAAAATTGAATGTGTACTTTTATGTCTCTATGCTGGCGGTCTACACCACGTAAGTTTCAAGTCAATCCGTCCGATAACAACCGAAATAGTATTCTTCGATTAATTTCGGCAAAAAAAGTATGCAACGAATTTTCGAAAATCGAAAATTTTCAACTGCTATCCTTTGTCCTTTGTTACAAGAAATACGATGCAGAAAACCCGATCAAAATCGGTTGATAAACACGCCCTCTAGAGTCCATTTTCCGTTTGTTGCAATGTTGCGTAATGTTGCTCAGAAAATTTTCGTTTTACATTTACACTGTGATTAGCCACGAGTTACAAAACACCATGAAGTCCGTTTTCCAGTTCGCTTATGAACGCCCTGCAAAAAAAAAATCAATTCGAAAACAAAGCAGGGCGTTCACTTCCAAACGCCCTGCAATGATATAGACATTTAATAAATGATATAAACCTCTCAGTATATATATATTACTTTCAAAGTTTCAATGTGGTTCTGACATCGTCATCAGGAATATAATGACACAAACAACAAATCAAACATAAGTATATAGGTAACAATATTAACCACAACAACAAAGGCACGTGTGAAGCCATGTCAGGGGATTACTGCAAGTGAAATAAAGGGGTCTTAATAGTTTCACAGACTGGCATTAATTCACAAAATTATCTTCATAATTCTGGAGGTTATCGAGAAGAAAAGCAGGCTAAAGCCCCGAGTATACAGGAATTTGACACCCTGCATGATTATGTTTACCATATGCTGCCGTTCTATGGGCATCTAATACCGAGTTTTAGACCATCCTGTTTTCAACAAGATGCGCAGATGTGAAGCACTCTACAATTTTGATCTCTGATCATGGACATGTGTGATGAGGTTTGTGTATATTTGTTTCGCTGATAGTAAGTATAGAACCTGCTCTAAGAATCGTTTTGCTCTCGTTTAACAGGCTTTCTAACAGGATTAAATTTCCGTTGGACTTTAATATATGACACCAAAATAAAGTCAAGGTCTCTTTTTTTCATCTTGCCATGACGAGATCCCCATCTCTATCTTACAAACAAAGGCAACATATTCAAGTAACCCTTTAAATCCATTCACTTCCCTGAAGTTCAAAATAAGTTTCAACAACAACAACAATCGCCCTTGCCTCTCCAGGGTTGATATCCTAGGTTGAGAAATAATCTCCAGCTCACCAGCGACATAGAGATGGAAGGATAATTCAGACTCAGTAAAGTTAAAGTTTCTGCTTGCAAATTGAAACAGTAACGATGAATGGGACCAGTTTTGAGGACAAAGTACTCAGTCTGAGGATTTGGCCTGAATGCCAGATTTGGTAGGTCTTGCCGATTGGACATTACCAGTTCCTGTCTTAAATCCATCATATTTATCTGAGTTATCGGTTTCTGAGTCACTACTATTTGATTCAAATCCAAGATGGGTCATTCATTTGAACCTTCTTTAAATTGGCTTCAACTTTCTTCAGTTGATCTTCATTTCTTTTTAGTTCTGCCAACATTTCTTCCTCACCCAGATCACAAAGATCTACCAGCAGAATGCCAATGAGTGACCGATCATGAAAGGTCAAAAAGTCTTTTTTCGTTTATCCAACTTGTACATACATGGACATTTATGATTGGTTTAAACTCTTAATCATATGCAATAAGAACATTATGATATGATTAAGAATACATGATAATTCATTAGAAACACTAATTAATCAAATAGTTTGCCTAATTTGACACTCAAAAATAAGGAAACCCATCTTGTATGAATAAGCCATCTCACAGTCTCAAGTGCGCATGCTCAAGATTGGTGAGGTCCAAATTGATAAAATACATAAAACGTAAACAACTCACAACGTTATTCTACTCTTTAAACCTTCCAGTTACGAAAAGAGTTGTAAATTTGTAAATCAATTTGGAACAGGCTCAAAACCTTCAGTGTTCTGGTCATAGCCAGCATACATGTACAAATCATAGATAAATGGACCTTAAAAGTTCGGCTGCTGACCTACACATCCGATTCAACCATCAAAATAAGAGAGAGCAGTTTAATAAATAGGCCTACCCATGAGCCATTGCGACCTTTTTTTGGCCATGTTAGACCTGTTTTATCAGAAATATAATGACAGATAGTGGTGCCAATTTAAGCAAATATATATGCGTAATTCATGATGTTCAAGAATTATATACAGATATAATATCTCGGCTATGACTTGACAGTATGTTTTTAGATAAAAACCTTTAGCTAAACGTTTTTTTTAACATAATTTGAAATTTGGATTTAACTTGGTCCTGTAATAATACGGTACCACTTCATCCTAAACCAGTTGTACCAGACCACTTTTTTTTAATATGCAGTCTGGCCTGCATATTTACATCACAGTATTCTTTCAGATGTTTTTAAAACTACATGTAGAAAGTAGCCCAGAGAGAGCATTTCTGATGATTTAGTACACAACTTCGCCTTCGCAAACTAGTTCTGATCATCTAAAATTTCTAAGAAAGGTTTGAGAACGCTTGTTACCTGCCACAATTCACCCCCAAAAATTATCCTTGTGGTTACGATCCAGCCTGGAAAAATGCATTTTCAGTGATTTGATACCTTAATTTGGCCAACACATGAGCACCAAAGTTACGAAATTGCGAAGGGAGTCTGCAAACATTTTGAATTATAAGCGATCTATTACACTATTTTTGGATATAAAACATTTTTCTAATGAAATCGAAATCTTTCGTGCTATGAATATTTTTTCTGGTAGATTTTGTGCTGAAGCCTAATTCCCATGCATTCCTTAATAACGACGGGGCTGTGTCTACAGATCTACATGTATTTTCAATCTTTTTCAAAATGTAGTTCTTGTTTGAGGATTTTAAGGCTCAGACGATTTTGAGTGTTTGGGAAATCGCAAGAGTACCGATTTCACAGTCAAGAAACCCTTGAAGAAAATAAGTCTTACTTTTTTCTGGTGCTGCCATTATGCGGTGACACCTGTAGGACCTTACCTTTTACCGTCTAATTTCATCATTATTCAGTGAAATTTTTGATTACACCCAGATGTTTTCAATTACATCACAGTGATTTAGAGGGTTAAGTTTAATTTGCCTAGAACCCTTTTCATTTACACTACAACTGAAGAACTGTTATCAGACCACTTGAGTTTATTGTAATATAAATGGGCACATTTTATCGCGGCCATGGTCCGGACCAAGAATGGAGCGCTTTATAGCGCTTTGTGTAAAAGGGTCTATAGAGTAGCTTAGGCTATTATTTCTGCAATTAGCTGACAAAAGGGAGCTGCAATGATCCCCTAAAAATCTCTGTACATGGCAAATAAAGTTACACATTCCAGACAAATGGGTTTGTTTACGTTTTACGTGACATTGACTTCTGACCTTCCCCACAATTCCTGGCTTATTAGAATCGGTATCCTTTCGTAAAATAGTTAAAAGACTTACGTACACTTATTAAATATATCTTGTCCTGAGCAAAATTTGGCACAACAGTTACCAGGTCCTTTTCAGCCAAAAACTCAACTTCAGATGGATCCATAACGGAAGTATGTATCGAATTTAACAGACCAACGATAAATCTTACATTTTTAACAACAAAAGGGAATGCAAACACCTTTACCGATGCTTATCATTGACATTAAATACAGAAAAGTTATTTAGTTGTTGTTATTATTACTCCCGCCATCTTTTGAAAGGTGAAGGTCGACGGACATATCAAATTTGGAACTGGATATTGATAAAATTATCTTAATAAAGTGAATGGGAAAGATCTCCAAATATATGTTCACAGAACGTCAGATTAAAACATTAATCACTGCTTCTTTTTTCTTCTATTTGATACGGTTGTGAATATAAATATTGAATTAAGATGGAACCCTTTTCCAAACTTTACATTTCACTTCCTTCTTAAATAAAGGTGGCGCTCTATAAAGATGGCCGTCTCTGTTGTGTTTTGCATCATTGCTGGTGTTATTTGTAGGCTTGCATTGTTTCAGACAGATTTGCCGATATGGCTAGAGACAAAAAACGAAGTAGTAACACCCATCACAGCCTGGGAAAGAGGTATTATTATAAGAGGACGTTATTTTTTGTAATGACGAGCCTCCAACTCATGGTTTCATGTACGTAGGCCTATCACTATCAGGCATGTAGTTGTAGTGGTTTCCCCCCCTTTACATGTTTCTCCCCCTTTACATGTTTCTCCCTAGTGGTTTGCACCTCTTTTTAAACCTAGTAGGTGGTAGGTAGGTAGACGACAAGTTAACGTTCGCTTCCAGCGAATGCTGATTTTGCAAACTAGGTAGATGTTGGTAGTCGTGGTAGTTATTAATTATTGGATTAAATTGCTTTGTTATTCTTAATCAGAGATAAGTAATCTGTTGTTAAGCATATGATTACATATAACATTTTATCTTACTCTATTCAAATTTGACTTGTTCAACATTGCTGATTTGTGTTGAAATTGCAATATTCTTGTAAGACCAAGGCATGCCATGATTTGAGATGATTTCATAGGAAATGTGATACAGCTCTATAATAGTTATTTATCTTTGTATATTTTCTTTATATCTTTTGATTAATTAATTTCAATAATTTACTTTGGAAATTGTCATTATCAATGATTGTCATTAATCAAACACCTGCTTTTTTGGTAGTTGTTAAGAATAATCCAATACACAAGTTAATATCCAGTTGAAATCATTAAATCAAATTCTCTTTTCTTAACCCTAAGCTTACATAAGCTTATATTTATATAGGTGAGGAAACCACTTGGGGGAAACCACTACAGTGGAAATTGAAAAGGGGGCAACCACTATGGGAGGAACTTGTAAAGGGGGGAAACCACTGTAAGCCGGCATAACCCCTTTACAAGTTCTTCCCTTGTTGCTGACATGGAAAAAGCGTCCAGTCGTTCGATGCGCGTTAAAGATCTCTTGACAGTTGAAAATCGAAAAAGAGCAGGCTAATGCCACTGTCTTAGCAAAATTTCCCTCATTGCAACCTGCATCGTGTCACACGTCTTCATTAGCCTACATGGTGCAGAAAAGTAGGACGTAAAATTCCATTCATTTTATTTCCATTTCTTTTGACGAGTGCTATGAAAATATTAATACTCTATGAGTGGTGTAACCTATTTTCCTGCATATAAGGATTCATCACTGAATTTCAACAAATTTAAAAATGACGTTTCTTCAGATATTCTATAAAATAATTGAAATTGGTTTGTTTTGATTTTCTTTATGAATCTCTCACTTTGACCCATATTTCACGAGTAACCAACTTGAAAATGGCTGCAAAATGCATCGCCTATTTTGGGGTTAGTACAATATTTGATTTATAAATGTCGAGAAAAACACGTTGTTTGGGTACCCAGTGGTATAATTATCATTTCTTAGTATTTATCTTTAATATCCAGTCATTATAACTAGTGACAATTCCTTCAAATAACAATGATTTAAAAAAAAAGAAAAATAGTGACTGACAAAATAAGATAAGTAAAACTAAGTGTAATTTATTGCTAAAATTCATTGAAACAACATAAGGATATGCCCTACATTTTGTTCCATAGAATTTTTCTGCTGGTGTGGAATCTGTTAGTTGGTTACGTGACTTTTTTATAATATATTCTAGCAAAAGACACTTGGAATTTTGATTATAAGAAATTGTGGCCTGTAAAAAATTGTGACTTTTGGTAATAAAATCTGCCATTTTGTATGAAATGATAATAAATATGACTTTGCTTTGAAACGATAGGAAAAATTCTGCAGGTTTTACGTTGTAGAGATAACCCATGATTATCATAACATGCAAATGCAGAGGTCACTGGAGGTTGCACATGTAAATTATTTATCATTTCTGGAGATGCACCAAATTAGGTTACTTGACTGGATCTGAGCAAGAACAATTAATACACAGCAAGAAAAATTCAGCAACTATTCATCAAATGGAAAAAAAGATATATGTATCAGACTTTGAAATATCCATACAAGGAATGTTACTGTTTTTAAAAGAATATAGAATGATTAAGTTTAGAAAAAGACATAAGAACTGCCTGGAATTCATAAATAAATACATGGGACCATGTGATCACATGACTTTGTGTAGCAGACTTGCAAATTACTTCACAAATACAACTTTTATAGATATCTTTATTTGATCATTTTTCATTTTTTTAATAGAGGTACAGATTGGTTATGGTTTTTCCCTGCTGTTAAATTTAAGGGACATGGTCAATAATGCCACTGGGAGACCTTTTAGTAATGACAAAAGATTTATAATGGCTTGGTCTGTTTTTGGATATCCTATGCTCTTGCAGTTAGCTAAGGGCAATTTCATTTGGATTATCTTTTTTTCAGTTGAAGAAGGCTTGGCTTTAAAGAAAAGTATGGTATCACCTTACACTGGAGATGTTTTTCATGAGGTACAGCCAATCAATTCTTTAATTCATTTAATTCGTACTGATTCTTACTGATCTTCGGTCTGTTGCAAGCTTCTAGACCACCTTTTTTAAAGTGACCATTTATATGGACCAATGATACTATAGTCTCAGAAAGAATTTTTTTTTTAGCTTAGCTAATCATTAATGGGGTTCACAGCCCACCATTGACATTTGAGCATGTGTGTCCAGAATTATCAATGTTTGAATGTTAAAATGACCACTTGTCATTTTAAGATACTCTGTGATATATAGAAAACCCATATATAGAAAAAGTGAGTAAAATTCCTAGTTTGAAGTATTCTTAAAGGAATTAAGTGATTTTCGTACATTTCTAGTACTTCTGAAGACTATTTTCACATATTCAAGACTAAAATCAACCCCCAAAATGCTGCACTTGTCCCTTTAAGTAACGGAATGATGGTCCTCTTCAAAAAGCTTTAGTTTACATTTGGTTTTTCGTTTTTGATGCATTTAATAGGAAAAATTCAAAAAACTTTTTACTTTGCTTAGACAATAAATCAAGAAAAAAAACAGAATATTCTTGAATCACAAAATGACGTGGAAAAAATTGAATAAAATGGAAAATCATCATTTCTTAGTTAAGAATGTTATGAAGAAAAATCTTCTTTTGTTTTCAGACACCTGTATTATTGAAGATTATGGAATTTGTAAACCATTTTCCAAACGGAAATAAATTTTTCTTTGTGGTATGTACATATATGGATTTTGATGCTGTATTTTTATATGTTCTGTGAATATGTGAATAGAGTTATAAGCTTTAACCCTTGATTTTTACCATATGTGCAAAATTGGATGTAAGAAGCTTGTTTTATTTGTTGCTTTTGACTCAGCCAAAATGTGTAAAAACTGGCTTGTGGATGCAATACAGATTTGATGTCTTTTGTGGACTTTGATATGTATGTGTAATCTCAGACAGTTTAATTATATAGATATTTCGAAACCTTTTTCAGGCAGTAGATGTATGGATTAGTATATTATTGTGGGCTATTTCTAGCAGATATGGTAAATATAAGGTAATACCTTTCTTTTCAGTTTTGAATAGGTATGTATGTTGTACTTAAAAATAAGCAAAACTAGAGATACAAATACTGGCTTGAAGATAATTTTTGTTTGAAATGATTTTAGTTAACAGAACAATGTAGAGATGTAAAGAAGTATTCAGTAAATGTTGAAGATGTTTTATTAAAATCTAAAGATTTAAGGTCACTACCTCTTATAGTAGTAGCTGTGTAAGTATTATAGAATTATGTCTAAATAATAAGGACAACAAATCAGTTAACAATGTAAAAGTATCAGACTACAAAAAGAAAAGTCTGAATGGTCAAAGAAAGGGGCTTACAAAATGACCAATGATAAGTTACAGTCATTTCCAAATCATTTCAAATAGAAGTCGTATTGACAATGATGTAGAATATAATACTTTGTCACACTTAAAAGGGTGCCTTCTTACTTTTTTTTATTATGTCATTGTTGATATTACATTTATTGAAGCAATGGCAAAGAAACAAGATGATACAGACTGTAGATTAATGAAATCAAACAATCTTCATTAATGTTGAATTTATCTTTGCAGACACGTATTTAACCCATATAGTATATCTATATGTCTAGCTAAGTCTACAGCTGTATTGTCCAATCTATCCATATTGTTAGTATTTTATTACATGTTAAAAGGCAAGTATTTTTATAATAAGAAATATTTATAAGTTGGGTTTTGTGCCGAAGTTGGGTTATATATATATATATTGAAATATTTTTATCCTAGTTATAAAGAAAAGTTGGGTGAGCACTATGACCATCTATCAAAAATCAGACTGTTTGGGAAAATTTATAATCAATGGAGTTGAAACAAAGATTACATTCTCTTCAGACTTTATTATTCAGTTCACAGGCTAAATTACCTAACTATTACTGTACTCTGTTTCAGATAATTTATTATTAACTACATTATTCATTGCTGTCTCTACTTACCAATCATTTTATCCTTTTATATTCTGTTTACCTGTAGCCTCATATTTCTATCATGTAAGTTTTCAGTATTTATTATAAATGTTGCATTGCCTAAAAAATGTGGGCAAAGTCTAGCAAAGATATTTTTACACATCCAGATCTAAGTCAAAACATAAAACAAGAATACTTCATGTTGAGATAAAATGATTAGTAATTGAAACTAATGAAATGTTAGCGACTTCCTTTTTTTTGTTCATCAACCTCAAACTACCTTAAAATGGACTATATTTGAATCAGACTTAGATGTATAGAAATATCTTTATATGAACATACTGGAAATGATTGATGCTATTGTAGTTACAATGCACACTATGATATATTTTACAGCTTAACTGATGTATTTTTGAGGAAACTTGACTCACAGTAAATATGTAACCAGGATTATAACTGAATGATGGATTAACTTACAGAGTTATACATTTTAACAAATTATGCACCTTGATTGATGTATTCATACTATTGTAGCCTTTAACATTAAAAAATGAATATTTTTATTATCAATCAATATAACTGTGAGTTGTATATGAATTAAATATCTGACTTTTCTTTCAGAAATCCTCCAATAATATTACTAGTTATTGTAGTTCCGCTGCTATTATAAAGCATTATATTCCATCATTTGGACTTTTTTTATTTTGGTTCATGCTGTTACTTGGTATATCATATTCAATAGAAGGATCATGGACTTTTCTATATTCGACCTATGGTTTTATGTAAGAATTCATTTTGTTTTTGTTGGTCCTCTGAATATTTGCTTATTGTTCTAGTAAATTCAGATGAACGCTGACTCCAGAAAATTGTCTTTTTTCTTTTGTAACAAATTTTAGTACAGCAATTAGGCTCTAATTCATCTTATGCTATCTTGTAGCATTGTTATAATTGATGAGTCTATACTGAATGAAAGATTATACATCTTTAAGTAATTAAGGTCCAGCTGGAAAGATGTCTGCTTATCTATTTTATAAGAGTCTGATTGTTGGATCTTTTATCCCTCTTTTGTTACCCATCCCCGTACATGTAAAGTAATACCATGTGTGGGCTAGTTACTTTAGTATTAGGGGACAACAGGAGAGGAAATAAGAATAAGATAACACAGATTTCCTTAATTAACAATAATGGAATAAGTAAACCTACAGAACATAATTTGATATTCTTTTTTTCATTCATTCGTCGGCTTTGGAAGCAAACAGAGTAAACTGTAAGTAAGGTCTTGGGTAGATTCTTGATTCAGTATAGACTCTATAGTGTTTGATGAAAATTAAGAAAAATTTTATTTATTTTAAATTGCGTCTTGGAAGGGATAGACCTAATCCAGTCTGTAAAAACTTGCCTACACGATTCAGATACAACACATTATAAAATTTTATTTCAGATTAAATGTTCCTGATCTCAGTCCAAATGTTGGCGTTTTCTGGTATTTCTTTACAGAAATGTTTGAGCATTTCCGTGTTTTCTTCATTTGTATTTTCCAAATTAATTCTGTCATTTATAGTATACCATTAGCAGTAAAACTAAAGTAAGTTGAATGTAAAAATTTCTTATTTCTCTTGTTGGTATATTTTCATTAAGTAAATTTAACAGCAGACTTACTTACTGTTTTAGGTCAGATTTTTTAAAAGCATTCAAATATACTAATATTATGTAGAATGATATAATTGTATAAGTTTATTTCAGGAGAAGTCCAGTATTTTTTCTCTACATGATGATATTTATCACATCAATATTTAAATCTTATCCAAGTTATGGTGATATAGGACTTTGTTTATCATTACTACCATTGTGGAAACATACATTTTCTTGTAAGTTTTCTTCAAAATCAATGTTTTCAATACCAAAATGTGTTGTAATTTTACTAAGTCATGTATTCTCTTTGAGATAAACAAGTGGTACACCACGCAGGGTTGGAAAGATTTGTCCAGAGTGGTTAAAACCATCCTGTCAAAACTAACTAAAGCAATACTTTTTGAAAATTTAACACAATTTTTATGATTTTAAATTAATCATACACAATAATTCCAAGTTATAATTGTTATATTATACGATGAAATTACATATATGTATTATGTATAGATAGTATAATGAAAATGATATTAATTCCCAGACTCGAATAAAAATATTATACATAGTTAAATTACATACAGATACTAAGATAGTTTGCCAACTTTGATTTTGAATAAAAATATTTGGCAGTAAAGTAACAATTACCAGTATGAAATATTCAACCAAGTACATGCCGACTGTCAAATTATGTTTTTATATATTTCTATATAAAAATTGATATCATTTATTTTTGTCTTTACAGATATGCGCAATTTATTTGTTGTAACCTGTATGTATATTGTTTGTACAGTATTTGCTCCGATCCTGTATCATTTATGGATTTATGCTGGAAGTGCCAATGCAAATTTTTATTTTGCTATAACACTCGCATTCTCAGCTGCACAGGTATATATTTTCGGTCGTTACTTACATTGTCTATGACCAAGCTGTGTTAGATTTTAAGACATGGTATTGCATGAAATGCCCATTTAGGACGTGTTACAAATTCTTGAAAATTCATCTATTTGACAAAATGTTAAGATGTGTATAATTTATTTTTATTTTGTACTTTTATTTATCTATTTCAGATATTTTTAGTAACAGATTTATTATTTGCGTTTTTGCGAAGGGAGTATGATCTATATCATGGAACAAACCATAAATTAGAAAATGGAAAAACTACTCAAGTTGTTTTGGAATAATAAGATTTTGTATCAAATACTACACGAACAATCAAAAATCATGCTTCTTACTTATATATTCTATTCATAATCTTGAATGTCATGTTATGGTGTATTTTTTTATCAAACATCATCTTTATACTTAAGCCTCAGCTATATGATAAATTGAAATGGTATATATATTTATATAAAGACTATATTGTGTTCCGACGTAAAAAGACAGGAATTTTCTTACAATCTTTTTATACCACCTTTTGTATGCTATTATGGTTTCTGTATCACTTTAAGGTGACAATGCGCTGGTTCCAATTTTATTAAATATGAAATACACCTTATACCTTGACATCATAAGGCAATTTTCTTGTATCACAGAGGTTTGTAAATGATATAAAGTGTCCACCTGGCGAAGGATTTTTCCTGTTTGGGCAGGAAAATAGTAAATAAACCCATTATTGTAAATGTATCGATTTAAGTGTGGCTGTGTATGAGAATCGATTATCTCCCTTGGATCATATTTCTTTTAAAACAGTTTCGACTGCAATAAAGCTTAAAATATCTAAGCAACAAATTACTTTTCCTTAAGGGTTTCTTGAAGATGTATTTGAGTTAAAAAGATAAGCGAAAAGTCATGGGAGAATTATTGCAGGCACGATTACGTTATTGTTAAGATTACCTACTGAACAAGTATCCTTTTGAGTATACTTTTTATACGCCCACATGAAATGGAGGAGTACATTGCCGTCACCGATTTTCGTCCGTCTGTCCGCCCACAATTACTCGTAAACACTCTAGAAGGGTCAATTATTCTCGACTGATTTCGACGAAATTTGGTATTATTGTTTGTAATCACCGAAGGATGAACTCTAAAAAAAAAAAGAAAAATCTAAAAATATTTATTATGAGTTATTGACCTTGTCCTGAACTGCTCGTAAAAACTCTAGAAGGCGTAATTCTTGACGGATTTCGATGAAACTTGGCGTTAGATTGTGATGAGAACATAGTCTCATGAAAGCACTGGCCAAGGTCACAAAGTAAAGATTTATGATAAAACAAGGTGCTTGGTGTGAGTATTTGTTATCACCCAAGGATGATCCCTATCGTAAAGATAGCTTGTCAGGTAAGGTTAGGTAACATTCGCCCACTACCAGCTGTCAGAAATGGCTAAATAATGAATTTTCAAATTAAAGTCATCACTAAGTCAAGGCAAAAACCTGAAACAGTTCATAAAATTATCATCAAATTCAAACATGAACAATGTCTTATAGCTGTACACACAAGAGCAATAACTCTGAAACGGTTCATCGAATTATTACCAATTCTAACTTGAACGAGACCACATTAATATATACATGCATATCTAGTTTCATCAAGATTGGATAAAAACTGTAGTCTGTGTCGTGCCTATAAAATCGAAATTTGGCGGTTTTACTAAGTCAAGAGCAATAACTCCGAAACCATTCATTCGATTATTATCAATTTCAAACTTGACTGAGACCTCACCAATACATGCGTGCATACCAAGTTTCATAAAAATAAAATCTGTAGCCTCTATAGCGACTACAAGAAAAATTTGACGCGTTTTTACCAAGTCAAGGGCAATGACTCTGAAACCCATAATCTAATTATATTTCGAACTGGACCGAGATCTCATCAATATATACATGCGTACCAAGTTTCATCAAGATCAGATAAAAACTGTAGTCTCTATTGTGCCTATAAGCCAAATTTGACGAGTTTTTACTACGTCAAGGGCAATAACTCTGAAACCGTCCACCCGATTATTACTACTTTCAAACTTGACTGAGATTTCGTCAATATTTACGTGCATACCAAGTTCCATCAAGATCAGATAAAAACTGTAGTCTCTATTGTGCCCACAAGCCAAATTTGACGCGTTTTACTACGTCAAGGGCAATAACTCTGAAACCGTTCATCCGAGTATTACGAATTTCGAACTTGACCGAGATCTCATCAATGCATGCATGCATACCAAGTTTCATGAAGATAGGATACAAACTATAGCCTCTATCGGGCCTACAAGGCAATTTTTCGTGTTTTTCTAAGTCAAGGGCAATAACTCCGAAACTATTCATTCGATTGTAACGAATTTCGAACTTGACCGAGATCTCATCAATACATACATCCATACTAAGTTTCGTGAAGATAGGATAAAACTGTAGCCTCTATCGCGCCTACAAGGCAAATTTGACACGTTTTTACTAAGTCATGGGCAATAACTCAAATACCGTTCATCAGATTATTACTAATTTCGAACTTGACCGAGATCTCATTAATACATACATGCATACCAAGTTTCATGAAGATAGGATAAAAACTGTAGCCTCTATCGCGCTTACAAGGCAAATTTGACGTGTTTTTATCAGGGGCAATAACCATTCACCCGATTGTTACGAATTTCGAACTTGACCTTTGAAGAAATGTGAATGGACGGACGGACCAACGGACAGGGGCGACGGCAATATATTATCATGTGGGCGTATAAAAATCGAAAAATAATTAGTATGAGTTATTACCTTGTTCTTGAAAACGCATTCCATTTATAGCTCGTAAACACTCCAGAAGGTACAATTCTTGACGGATTTAGATGAAACTTGGTGTGAATGTTTTGGCGAAACTTGGTAATATTATACAGTATCGCCCCAAAAAGTTCAAAAGAAGTGTATGACTAAACGTTGAATATTTCATATTGGTAATTGCCAAATATTTTTATTTAAAATCTGATGATTCCTGTGATTTGACAGGCTTTGGGTTTGCTTTTGGTGGTGGTCTTTTTTAATTCGGTGAACTGTTGAGCATGTGAAAAAGCATAATACTGTTCATATTGTGGAGTGTTGGCAAATGAATTTAAATGGTTGAAGGCCAATTTCTCGGGAATGTTTCTCATAATCCTTTAACTTCATATCTTCATATCTGTAGATTTTGTTGAACCATGTTCCCGAAGAAGAATAAACATGACTTCTAAAAGTGATGAGTGGTTAAAAGAGGTGGATCTAGGTGTCAGCTATATAGAACTGAAAATTGGAAATCTTGATATGAAGCGTTTTTCAATAGTTAAATGCATATTTATGGATAAATACTGAGTTTTTTGGATTTATTGAATTATATTAGGATCCTGTTATGTTATTTTTGACACCAGGTATACCTACTGGTTCTTATTCGCCAAGTTTAAAATTCTTAAATTTTATGTTAATTCTAAGACGTAGTATCACTTTAAACAAATTGCTCTCCTGCATAAAGGCTACTGACAACCTTTTGTAAGTCATTGTCAATAAGGAAAGATCACCCCATCAGAATCACCATCCCGTACATAGAACCACCCAGCCACAAAACCAAAAGAATCCTCTCAAAAAGATTAGGCGCAGATGTTATTTTAAGCACTAGTACCTTATTAAAGTCTATCTTGAAAGCAGACGGTCGACTAGCCAAACTCACACTGGACCCCAAAAGTGTTGTGTATAAAGTCATCTGTAACTGTGACGAATTTTATATATAGGAAAGACCTCTCGACCTATCTCTGTCAGAATTAAAGAGCATAAAACAGCAGTCAAGAAAGAAGATACTAACAACTCAGCAAATGCCGAACACATAATCATGAAACCAGATCATAGAATCCAGTGGGAAAAGACAAATACTAGCCTGTAACCTTACAGAATGGAAACCACGTGTACTAAGAGAGGCATTAGAAATTCAGAAACACGGGCCGCAATTAAACAGGGACAGTGGGCATTTCTTACCCAACTTATGGACATAATTATTCAAAATATAACTCTTATCTTTGCTCTTTAAATGGTTTTATTAAAACCCCCTATCTTTCTATCTCATTATTTATCTGTGCATAATCCTTTGATCACCTGTAAACCTTTAATCATTGTTAATCTATTGTTAATCATCTATCGTATATTGTCATCGCCCCTGTCCGTCGGTCCGTCCGTCAACATTTCTTGTGAGCACTTAATAGAGACTACAGTTTTCATCTGATTTTGATAAAACTTGGTGTAATGCTTTAAATTGATAAGATCTCGGTCATGTTCGATATTTTCGATGAACGGTTTTTGAGATATTGCCCTTGACTTTGTTAAAACGCTTCGAAATTTGTCAAAAATAGTTCGTGAGCAGGATTGAAGCTACAGTTTTCAACCGATTCTGATGAAACTTGGTGTAATCTAGGACGAGTTCTAACTTGATACATTTTCGATGAACGGTTTTTGAGTTATTGCCCTTGACTTTGTTAAAACGCTTCGAAATTTGTTGAAAATAGTTCGTAAGCAGGATTGAAGCTACAGTTTTCAACCGATTCTGATGAAACTTGGTGTGATCATTGGAATTGATAAGATCTCGGACAAGTTCTAACTTAATACATTTTTGATGAACGGTTTTTGAATTATTGCCCTTGACTTTGTAAAAACGCGTCAAAATTTGTTCGTGAGCACAATAGAAGCTACAGTTTTCAACCGATTCTGATGAAACTTGGTGTGATCATTGAAATTGATAAGATCTCGGACAAGTTCTAACAAGACATATTTTTGATGAACATTTTTTGAGTTATTGCTCTTTACTTTGTAAACACGCGTCAAAATTTGTTTTTTGCCCTTGATTAGAGCTGTGTGATTTAATTGTTTGTTGTATTTGGGTTATTGATATTGATTTTAAAAAACTTTGTGGAATTATTCAACATAAATAATTGGCATATATATATATGTAATTGAATTCAAACTAATAAAATTTCTTCAATATGAGAAAATTCGTACTTTAGTCACTAAAGACTGTTTTATTATTTCTGACAGCTGCCAGTGGGCGTATGTTACCTTGCATCGCAAGCTATCTTTGTTATTGTTTTTACCCTTTATGGTTTCACTATATTACTTATATATTCTGAGTTGTAGTTGGTTAATCATTATTTACTTGACAACGTTACCGGTATGTGTTTCGAAACGTAGTATGTAATAAATTGCTGGTTGCATAGTTGATTATAATTGTATCCTTTGCTACTTTTATAAACACCATAAAATTGCGCCCCCGTTATTTAATGCGATCTCTGCCCTTAAAAGTTACAAGTGAGACCCAAGTGGATATAAAAGGGCATGATGAGCGAGAATATAGGGAGTGCTGGATGTTCGAGATGAAATGACTGAAATGAAGTCACGTGACATGTGCTCGAATTTGTGGACGCCATTTTTGAAGCCGCTGTGAAAAAAAGATAGACTGATTACTTCATCATTTCATCTTTTTAAGGGGGTATATATTTAACTATAATTGAACACTTTTCAACTTAAAGTTGATGTGTCAAGCAATATATGTATTTAAATGTGAATTCCTAAAACATTGCGCAACTTCCACTGTTAAATATTTGGTCAGCTTTTTTGGAGCTACACCAAAATTGTTTCGTACTTTTAAACCAAAACAAACTTTCGATTTTCAAACTTGTGAATCAGACAGGACTAAGGCCGGTAATTCAATTGCCTTCTGGCTCCATGTTAAATCATGAAATTCAACCTTCTATAAATTTTTCCAGAAATCTCGTTGAAAACTTTCCTATATGGCATGTTCCAAAACTTAGATGAAGATCTAGCTTCTGGACAAAAATTCAATATAATATAACCATGAAAACCCTGAGCTAGCCAAACTGAAATTAGACCACTACATTTTATCAACATCCCCTTGACTGTCACTGCACACAAAACAACTATGTTTGGATTATCTTTCCGCATGAAAATTTCTGATCATCTCCAAAAATCTGAAAGAAAATGCAATTTCAGCCATCAAATTCCAAATCTAGTCAAAAAATTAGTCAAAAATAAGCATGCAAAAATCCAAATGGGAGCGAGAAAGAGGATTTCTAAAAATAAAACAGACTTAAGTCAAAAATAGGCATGCAAAAACCCAAATGGAGGGAGGAAGAGAATTTCTAAAATTAAAACGGACTTTATTCGTATACAATCATTTACATAAAATGTTTTAGTGGTGTTAAATGGTGATGAGAACATAGTCTCTTGAAAGCACTGGCCTTGGTCACAAAGTAAAGATTTATGATAAAGCAAGGTGCAAGTTAAAGGTTAAGATAATTAGATATGTTAACTAAGGATGTCTCTGTAATACTATCTGTGGTAGTATCATTTCTTTAGCTGAAATAGCTGACAATATACGGTCCAAATAAATGATAAATTAGATCATTGATATACCTCATAGGTAGAGGTGTCAAAATCTTTTTTGCATGTATTATTTTGCATGTATTCGTGATATTAAATACATACTTATTACTAAACATCTTAACCTAAGAGTAAGACTAAATTAAAACTTAAACAGCTTTATCCTTTTGTAGGTACATTGGTATATTGTTAAAACTACAAAATGCCACTTGATACATTTATATGTGGTTCCTGTCAGGGAGCTTTTAGTGTTATAGAGACTTTTATGAACCATAAAAAAGACGGATGTTTTATTATTGAGCAAGAACCACTTAATGTATCTAAAGATATAAATTTGGACAATGCAGTGCCCCTAGTTTCTGTTGGTAAGTACTGAATTTTATGATTTGAAAAACCAATGATGTGTATTGACATGTAATTTGCATACTTTTAAGATGTTTTGTTCAAAAAACAGAAAATCAGTGTCATTTTCTTACTATATAATTGATGATTGCTATTATGCCATTTGTAATTTGAAATATTTTTTTTTGTAGGAGAAGTTGGAACTAGTACTGATTTGACATATTACAATGATGGTATACCTGAAGGAACTAGTACTATCCTGACATCAGATTCTTCTCACCATGATCAACAAACTATTGTTATTATTAAAGGAGAAGATATAGAGAATCTAACAAGTGATAAAGCAACATGTACTGTGGATATGGAACCTAAAGGTTTGTTATCTACAAAACAGTCATTTTGTGGAAAAATAAAACTTTCGTTTGAACTAATGTTTGAATTGTTTTATCTATATCAAATGTTATTTTATCCTGCGAATAAATCAATAACTGTAAATATAATATGTTATAATTGTATCAACTTTTATAGTGATGATAACCTTTATTTATATATATTTTTAGCACCAAGAAAGAGAGGAAGGCCCAAATCTAGTGGAAAAAAGAAAGTTGAAACTATAGATAAAAAGGAAGGAGGAAGGCCACCCTTACCAGAACCAGGTAATATGTTTTAACAGTAACTAAATACATAGACCGACATCTGTCCATATGAACATATGGAGCTCTTAAAAAGTTAAAACAATAATCCATTAATTATGCATGGTAATATATGAAAAAATATTCATTTTCATTTAAATATATGTCATGATTTAATTATCATATACATAATCTCTTCCAAAGTTTTAAAGCTACACTACTTTAAAATATTAATTTTTGAAAAACTAATCAATATTGACGTAAACATGTTTGCTTATACAATTTATGAGCTTATTTTGAAACTTCTACGATTTTATTGAATTGTACATGTATTATTTTGTTTAAGCTGAACTTGACAAACGAATTTTGAAAATTAATTTATATATGCTAAATTTTACCTCCGTTTATTTCCCAGGGGCTGATGGTAAATATGTTTGTGTTCGATGTAAAAGATCATTTGGTAAAGAGAGATTTTTCAACACACATAAATGTTTGTCAGATGATTATGTGGATATTACAAAGAAAGATGTTTTTTCACCAGAATTGGGTAATGTTTAGATTTCATACATATAGATATTATAGAAATATATAGAATGTATTTTTATTACTTATTTAAAGGTTGACCCACAAGGCTGTATAGTTTATCAGTCAATTTAACACTTTTCTTTTATATACATCATGCTTCATTTCACATAGAGATCTTGAATAAACCATAACTTAAATAAAAGGAAAATTATAGAATTATGTAGTGAGATAGTTTATTATTATTATAGATGGTGTTGATGAACAACAAGATGCAGGTGAAATAGATGATGAAGCTGTAGATGAATACACAGCACCCATTGTTCTCAATGTTGATTCTGGAGATGAGATCATGGAAGACATTGATAAAATAGAAGATTTTGAAAATAAAAAAATAACAAAGAAATCCAAGTCTAAACTAGCCAATGTGGAGATTATTTCTGATCCTGATGTAGAAAATACTATAACTAAAAAACTTACTGATAGTATAGAAGATTTACCAATATTTACTGATGAAAGTTCCAAGTTAGAGTTTGAAACAGTATTAAATGTAGACCTGAGTGCCATGGATACTATGTATACTAGACATTGTATAGCTCAAGAGCTAGATGAATCAGCTGTTTCTATAGGGAAGAATGTGAATACTGAACTTTCATTATATTTATGTAATATTTGTTCTAAAGTATTTAAGACTGTCTCTCACATCAGACATCATTGTTTAATTCATACAGATATCAAGCCATTTAAATGTCTACATTGTGATTATAAGTCTAATTCTAAAGGTAATTTCAATTTAGATTTGCATTTGAATTCTACAGGATACGTTGTTTATGTCTAATAGCTTGTTACATTGTAATGTAAAATGTGACTATCTTCTTAGCAATGCTTAGAAGCTTCTTGTAGTTGTTTCAAAATGTTGATCAATTTAAGCTTTATATACTATAAGCTGTGCGTGGACTGTGTTACAGAGTTATGATAGTGACAACTGTTAAGTTTAAAATTTTCATATACTTTATTTCCTTTCAATTTATGTTCTTAACATTTTAACTTTATTAAATGAATTTTCAGGTAATTTATATACACATATGAGAATACATACAGGTCAGATGTACCACTGTCAGAAATGTTCATTTAATTCAGTTAATAAGAGTCATCTAATAGAACATGAAGCCACCCATAGTAATACCAGACATCTCTGTAATTTATGTAAAAAAGATTATAATACTCAGGTTCGTAGGATGGCTATTTCAAATCAATTACATTTTTTATACACCCACATGTAGACATATATTCCCGTCGCCCCGTCCACATTTCTTGTATGCACGATAAAGGCTACAGCTTTAATCTGATCTTGATGAAACTTGGTATGCATGTATATATTGATGAGATCTCGGTCAAGTTCGAAATTGGTAATAATGGGATGAATGATTTCAGGGTTATTGCCCTTGACTTAGTAAAAACACATCAAATTTGGCTTGTAGGCAGGATATAAACTACAGTTTTATCTGATCTTGGTGAAACTTGGTATGCATGTATATATTGATAAGATTTCGGTCAAGTTTGAATTTGGTCATAATCGGATAAATGGTTTTGGAGTTCTTGCTCTTGACTTTTGCTTGTAGTCATGGTGCAGTTTTTATTCGATCTTCATGAAACTTGGTATGAGATCTCAGTAAAGCTTGAAATTAGTAACAATTGGATGATTGGTTTCACATATTAAACCACTACAGACTTTGTTATCATTTCTGACAGCTGGTACTGGGCGTATGTTACCTTGCCTGGCAAGCTATCTTTTACAGTGTCAATAGACAGATTTTCTTTCCAAAATTCTTAGAATAATATGCAGACTTAACATTGGCTGCCCAAATTTTGTACATTTGAGATTGGGATTTAATATTTATGGTCTACTTATAGTAAGAATTGCTCATTAAATAGGTAGAAAATATAATCCAAAGTATTATACTTCTCAGTAGAGAGAATTATGTCTGGCAATTATAATTTTTATTAAATTTTGATTCTCTTTTTTATGTTTCAGAAATCTCTTATAAACCACATCAGAAAATACCATCTTAATACTGCGATGGGTAAAGATTATCTAGCATTATTTTTAAATAGAAAGAATTCCCAATCTCATGTTATACACCAGTGTCATGTATGTAATAGAAAGTTTAAAAAGAAAATTGATAGAGACCGACATTTATTTGTTCATGATATTAAAGATATACCTATCATACAGAAATGTGAATTATGTGATTATACAGCGAGTAGAAGATTATATCTTGAGAAACATTATTTAAAACATCGTATTATATATCGTTGTTGTTCTTGTCCAGAACGTTTTCTCAGTTCGGTACGTCTTATAGATCATTTAAACACTAAACATAGTGATTTATCTAGCACATGGGAAACATTATTTGAGCAATGTATAGAAAATAGTATTTATCTACCTGAACCTGATGATAAACTAGGATTTGGATCTGATATAATTAATTTACCTCCGGAACTCTCTAAAACATCTATTGAATTACTGGATGCCAAGAAAATAGATCATGACTCAAATGTGTCTAAAGATGAAATCACCTTGGAAACAGATATTGCAGTTGATGATGATGTTCCAGAATCAACCAATAGGAATGATGAATCAATGGAAATTGACCCTCCATTGGTTGTAACCAGTGGTAATTTGATTGATGGCAATTTACAGCCAATATCAACATCAATTGCTGAATCGAATACAGCTAATGAACCAGTTAACTTATCTGATAGTGCTACATCATCACGGACAAATAATGAAACAGCACAAACAAACACAAATGAAACTGCATCCACATTTTCCAACAATAGAACTACTTCCCCAGTGTCAAATAATGAAATTGTATTAACAAAGACTAATAGAGTAATAGCATCAAAGCAAATAAATTTTGAAAAAGAATCAAAACTACTTAATGATGAACCAGCACAATCCAGTGATCTTTCTTCAGTAAAGTCAAGTGATGACACCGCAAACTATGACGAACAACAACTTACCATTTCCAAGGTAAATATTTGTATTGCATTTTAGCTATATTTACCCTACAAAATAAAGACAATTTTGATAATGTAGTCACAAAATACCATAAAGATTTCTAACAGTACAGCTATCAAAAAAACAAGGGGTCAAAAGTTAGAGGTTATAAAAGTACTATATTGTCCACATGTAGGCTAATATCAGAACCATATGTAGGCTAATATCAGAAGATTTATGTTATGTAAATGGCCTCAACATTTTCAATTAATTTAAATAACGTATATGCTGTATTATACGCCCACATAAATATGTGGTCATATTTTATCATCGCCCCTGTCCGTCGGTCGGTCGGTCCGTTCGTCAACATTTCTTGTGAGCACTATAGAGACTACAGTTTTCATCTGATTTTGATAAAACTTGGTGTGATGCTTTTGATAAGGTCTCGGTCAAGTTTGAATTTGACAAATTTTCGATGAACAGTTTTTGAGTTATTGCCCTTGACTATATATTTATAAATTGAATTCAAACTAATAAAATTTCTTCAATATGAGAAAATTCATACTTTAGTCACCAAAGACTGTTTTATCATTTCTGACAGCTGCCAGTGGGCATAATATGTTACCTTGCTATCTTTTGATTTTAGGATGATCCAGACAGCAGTTCTGTAGAAATGACAGACACACAGGAAAGTAATTCTAGTCCTCTAAACACGGAGATAAAACAAGAAAATAGAGAAGATGATGCTAAAAATACAGCTGATGATATTACTGTAATGACTGATGATGTGATTAGTAAATCTGCTGATGAATCTGAAGTTATTAATATTAATGGTGAAAATATAGAGTTGATAAATCTAGAAAATGAACTAAATGAAGAGAAGAATTCTAACAGTATAGATCATATTGTAAATAAATTAGGCTATAGAACTATGACTATGAATATCTTTCATAAAATGAGGGAAACATTTGGTAGCGAGGAGTGTGAATATTGTGGAAGATTATTTTACAATAAACCAGATTTCGAAGCTCATTTAAGGATTCATACAGGTATAATTAATTTTTACATTATTAATGACTTCACTGAACACAAATATATGATGATAACCTACTTTTTCTAAATCCAATAATATGGAGTCGCTGTCACTTATTTTATCCTGCTCAGTAAAATTTTTTCCCATTGAATATTCTGTGCAGTTTAAAAAAAAACATTGCCTTGCTATTGTACAGGCTATTGAAAATTTTATATTTCTGCTTTTTATATGCCCACTTGGAAATGTGGACATTTATTGCCATCGCCCCTGTCCTTTGTTCAGTCCGTCCGTTCACATTTCTTGTAGGTACAATCGAGGCTGCAGTTTTTATCTTATCTTGATGAAACGTGGTATGTATTTTATATTGATGAGATCTCGGTCAAGTTTGAATTTGGTAATAACCAAATGAACAGTTTCAGTGTTATTGCACTTGACTTTGTCAAATTTGGCTTGCAGGCTCGATATAGCCTATGCATGTATTGATGAGATCTCGCTCGAATTTGGTAGTGATTTGGTAACAGTTTCAGAGCTATCGCCCTTGTTAAAATTTGTCAGATTTGACTTGTAGGCATGATAGAGTTTACAGTTTTTATCAAATCTCAATGAAACTTGGTATGTTATATACATGTATGTATACTGATGAGATCTCCTTGGTAACAATCGCATGAACGGTAACAGAATTATAACCCGTGTGAATCCGTCGATGAGACCTTGTTCATGTTTGAATTTGATGATAATTTTATGAACTGTTTCAGGTTTTGCCGTGATTTATAAATATTTTTTAGATTTTTTGAAAATTCATTATTAAGCACTTAAGACTTTTTCATTTCTGACAGCAGATAGTGGGTGTATGTTACCTTGCCTGACATGCTGTCTTTAACAGTGTCAATAGACAGATTTTCTTTCCAAAATTCTTAGAATAATATGCAGACTTAACATCGGCTTTCAATACTTTATTTTACAGTATAAATGGCTATATTGTTATTTGAATTATTCCAGGAGAGAGACCATTTCAATGTGACTACTGTTCCTATAGAGCATTAAATAGCAATGTATTAAAGAAACATGTAGAAAAAGAACATGAGAAGATTTTGTATGAATGCAGTGATTGTGACTTTACTACATTTAAACGGGGTACTTTATGGAATCATCGTATTAAACATCTAACCATAGTTGGTTTAGAATGTCCTAAGTGTTCTGCTAAACTTGACAGGTATGCATTGTACTTTAATCTTTGTCATATTTATCCATACTTGTCATATTTGATTATTTCAATTTTTATCCAGTGTCATTTACTAGACCCATGTAAATAAGTTAACGGATTATGTTAGAGATATAACATGTTACATATTCATATATTATAACTTTTTTATCTTATATAACTTCAGTATGAAAAGATTAAGAGCTCATTTATTAGAAAGTCATCCTGGTATAGAAATGGAGGAACTAGAAAAATTAACTGGTTATAGACATAGATTACATGGTAAAATGGGTATGTATTTATTTATTATTTTCTTTCATTTTGAATCAGTAGAGTAAGTAACATAGGTACATGATTCAGTATAATTTGGTATCATGCCCATAGGTGAATTGCAATATACTAAATGCTAATTAAAGAAGAGCTATGCTAAATAAGAATTATTTCTTCTCTGACATGCTCTTTTGCACTTTTTCAGGCAGAAGATCATATAAATGTCCATATTGTGATAAAATATTTACTAGAGCTAATTCTGAGTTACAGAAACATATTTGGATGCATGAAGGAATCAAACCATTTAAATGTTCACTGTGTACTTATTCCTGTCGTAGTAAAAATAATCTTCAGGCTCATATGTTACGTCATTCCGCTGAGAAACCATTCTGTTGTGAGGAATGTGGTAAAGCATATAAATCTAGAACGGCTTTACGTTGGCATGTTAGATCACATAAAGATGGCAAAATGTTTAAATGTTCAAAGTAAGTTGAGAGTTTTCTTAAATCTTTAGTAAAGTCTGACTCACTTTTGGCAATTTTTTGTTAATATCTGTTGAAAAAACAATGAAGTTCATATCAGCCCTACGGTAAATTTGGGTGTGATAAGAGAATAACTTGCATGTTTGATCGAAAAAACATCTTGTTGATTAGTGTGCAGGTGAAACTGATAATTTGGCATGATCCAGCCTTATTTTCAACCAATGTCATTCTGGCTTCCATGAAATCACCTGATGGGAGCTGCAATAAGAAGTGTGCAAGTGTCTTAAATGTTTTATATATCATAGGCTCATATGAGTAATATTTTCCATTTGTTTAGATGTAATTATGAAGCAGCCCAAAGAAGTCATTTAACCAGACACATGGAAACACATAATGTTGTAAAAAGATTTGCTTGTCAAGCTTGTGACTATTCAGCTAATACTCTACAGTTTATGAAAATACATTATGCCAGGAATCATAAAGGTGAAAAATTTGATGTTGATGTAGCATCAGAAACTACTCGTCCTGAACAGAGTTCTGAAGCAAAGGTAAATATCTTTATTAGTATTCATTATTCATCATGATTGAACAAAATTTTAAAATAATTTATCACAGCAGTAAGAGTTGAGTGTGTCATCAGAAATTCCTAGATAAGTTTAGTCTAAGAGGGTCATTGTCATATATCCAAGTTGGATATGTAAGAATTCTTAAAATATCTAAAACAATCAGATTTTGAATCATTGGCTATACTATTACAAATCTATAATTTCAGGTGTTTAAATGTTTAAGCTGTGATTATTTATTTGGTAATATGTATGAATTAAAACGACATTTAAGATTAAGACATAATGTGCCGTCTCAAGATATAGCTAATTTAGAAGCAATGGAGATGTCAGAAGTACAGGTTTGTAAAAAAGCTCATTGTGGATCCTTAACTGCAATTGTAAAATGTTCAGTTTTATATTCATACTCTAGAAGGGCTGTAAGACATTTATTATATTGTTGATGAATATCAATAGAAAACAAGTCACTAGTAACAATGATGATTGTATTATTTTAGGTAGTACAGTATGTAGATGAAAACCCAGTACAACAAGAGGTAGTTGATTCTTCACAAAGTACGGTTACAGATTTGCAACAACAAACAGTTGGTAAGTTATATTTTGTTAATATTCTACAGTCTATAAAGCACAATCCTCAATAGGACAGCTTTAATGGAAATAGGAATCAACCCTTCTACATCTCATCCACACTCACATTACAGACTCCCAGCTTAAGAGTTCTTGTGCATGTTTTGTGTGGCTGAGTTTAATGAGATTAAAATAAATATTATTCTGAACCTGTAAACTACCCAATATATGGCCAACAATCATCTTGAGTTTGAAAGTTAAATTGTCTAGTTGTATTGCATGCTATATGAAATTAGATATGCATCAAAGAATAAAACAAGTATAGTACAGTATTTATCTATAATGTCACCTGTTTTCATTACAGAGGAAGATGAGAAGACTGTATCAGCAGTTAGTTTACTACAACAGATTATGAATATGTCTTATCCAGTGAGTTATTTACTTTATACTTATTTCATCTGATATCACAGTTTATATTCAAGGTTTCTCAATGATTAAAAGAACTAAACATAATAAATAGATCTAAACAATGATAATTAATATATAAAATAAATAATTAATATCTATAAATGAGAGACAAGTAATATTTTTTTAAATCCAAGAAGTAACTCTTTACTACTTTTATTTTGTAGGGTGCATATAATCAACAGCAACAACAAGTAACATTAGTTAATGAAGATGGACAAATGGTAGCAGTAAACCCTGATACTATAATAGTACAGGAGAATGGTGAAGAGGTATTAGTTACCGATAGTAATAGCCAATTTGATGGTAATCAATATGTCATACAGTATGTATCTCAACAAGATACACCATTAGATACAACTATACCTCAAGAAATCATCACCTCCGAAGAGATATAATAACATAGTATCAATAACCAGTAATGTTTATTTGTATTTTGTTTATAACTTCAGCAACATTTCAGCATAAAATTGACACATCAACTTTCTTTTCTATTTTACAAGACCAATCTTAAAATTAATCCTTTGTAATTTGATAATAATAATTTATTAAATTATGGTTTCATTAAAATATCGCCATTTTTCCATGACTTGTTGAGCTAATATACATGTAGTATGTCTCTATAATGACCTGAGACAATAATGATATAACAATCTTCTCTACATACGAAAATAAATTTAAGGCACAGCTTCACTTTCAGTTTAAAATACTTTATCTGCATGATGAACATTTCACGTTCTCCAATACAAGATGTACTAACAGATAGCATGGAACAATTTTCTCCATTCACACCTGAAATGGTTTTGTTCCATCTGCATTCACAGTTGCTACAAATAACTGACATGACAGAGGTTTAACTCAGTAAACCAAAGTTAACTGTATGCAAGTAACGCACTGCTTCATTTAATTTTTAAATTGACATTTATACGTGTATATTCTCCTTATAGTATAACTTGGTACTTTTTACAGGTGATGACAAGGATAATATGGTGGCACTGTCTGTATGCAATAGAACAATCTCCTGCTAGAATGAAGGATGATCTAGAAATACAATTTTATTCAACTTCCATTTGGCCAATGTAAGCCTTGTTTGCGTATCAGTGGCAATTTCCACAATTAACATGACATTTAATATTATTAACACCACATTTACATCCATCACTGATGTCTCCTTCTCCCTGAAATAAAACATGTCAGTTTATCAACCTTTACTTAAAATACATTTCGTTTATATAACTATTTTAATTGGCATAAACATTCTCAGGTAATGACAGGCATGGACCATTCTGATGATCAAATACATATATTCCAAGACTTAGTCAAAGCCTGATCAAACCTCAAATCTTCCCTCACTAGGAAATCTATAGATGATATCTTACCCTCGGGCCCCATCTTCTTCCTTTAGTTACCCAACAGATTTCAGTTTTACACACTGAACACTTAATCCAATCACATCCATCTTTCTTCATAACTATAATCTGACATTGTGGACATAACATAGCATTGCCTTGTTCTACCATTAACTAAAGAAATGTAAAAAAATAAAACAATTCACTAATTAATCAAAAAGCATATGTTTACACATCAAAATTTGACCAAAAATTAAGAAAATGAGAAAAAAAGATGAGATTGTTTTTTTACCCACTAATCACATCTTCACACTGTCAAGTTATTGACTGTAAAAGTCACTATTTTTGTATTACGGAATGAAGCAACTTGATTGGATTGTAGGCCCTCGACAAAAAGGTTGTAAACATTGCTTTGAGTTCACAGACTTCTTGCAAGGGCTTTGATTAGCTATATTCCCTTACAATCCAATCACATCACTTCACTTACAAACTGCCATGATACAAGAATTGTGGCTATTACAGTCAAGTATGAAGTCCTTAACAGCTTGACTTTGTGAAGATGCCCTAATTAATAAAATCTTTACTTACATCAAGATATTCTTTAGTTCTTCTAATAGATGTATCATTGGCTGCTTTTAATTTGATGTCCTCTTGATATTGTTTACAATTCATTCCTTCATGAATAGCTTTACAAGTTAAACAATTTTCTTTCTTACATACAGGACATTCAAAAAAATTTACTAAATCTTCATAAATACACCAGCCCACACAATCAGTGGTAGCACAGTGATAACTGTGTATTTCTTGACTTTCAGCTGTTACTAGACTTCTATGTAATATTTGTTGGTATAAATCCTTATTCACTAACTGTAAATACAAATGGTACTCATTTCAGCAGCAAGTGCTGGTCAGTGTCAGATAAACATTGCATTAGTCAAGTATTCTTTTAAGAACAGAACCATCTTTTCTTGAGCTAGAAGAACCTGGCCTAGATTCTCAAAATTTCTCCTGCGTCAAGTACTTTAGTATAAGTATATAATTGCAAGAAATATGGCCAGAAATCTTAATATGGATAGGTTCCCTTATTTTCATTAATGAAAATGAAAATGCTAATACATATATGAATAGAAAGTAGATGTGTTCTAATGACTTATATAGAATCCAGAAGAAACAATAGATGTTGTTTGTGTAAAATAGATAGTTCTAATAGCTATGATCTGGATTGATAATGTAATGTTACCAAAAGTTAGTTTAGTATAACAAGGTAGTACAAAATCAATTTGTCTGTCCACAAAGTCAAAATTTACATTATTTCATGAGATGATATTGGTTATCTAAACAAGTGGTTGCCTAGCAAGATACGCCCACTTTCCTGATACATATTCAGTATATCAAGGGAAGTCACCTATCTGTGTCAAATCATACCAAAAATCTAATTTGTGCAAGATGTTGTTGATTTAAACTAACACACATTATTTAATAAAATTTTGACATATTGTGTTCACAAACAAATGTTGACGCATTTTTAATAAATCAAGGGCAATAACTCAGAAACCATTCATCGAAAAATAGTGAATATCGAACTTGTCCAAGATTTCATAAATATACAAAATTTCATTCGAATCAGATGAAAACTGTAGTCTCTATCGCGTTCACTAGCCAATTGTGGACCGACGGTCGGACATGGGTGACTACAATATACGTCCACATTATAATGTGGGCGTATGATAAAATACGTATAAGATAGCTTGCCAGGCAAGGTAATATATGCCCACTGGCAGCTTTGATTTTGAATAAAAATATTTAGCAGTACTCATTAGGGCGATACTGAATAATATGAGTATGAGTTATGCCCTTGTTTTTGAAATTGAGTTCAATTTTTAGCTTGTGAAAACTCTAGAAAGCAAATATTCAATCTTCAATGTGGTACTGAATAACAAAACCAAGTTTTGTCAAAATCTGGCAAGAATCATGCCTTTTAGTGTTTAAGATCTAAAATTTGAAAGCGTTTTTTCTGATTTTCAATAAGGTTTATTCTTGGGTGATAACAAACACTCATCCAGTGCTTTTATTAGGATTTTTAAATCTCAATCTAACACCAGGTTTCATCAATATACGTCAAGAATTGTGCCTTCTAGAGTGTTTACGAGCTAAAAGTTGAACACGTTTCCAAGAACAAGGGCAATAACTCATACTAAATATTTTGGGATTCTTCTGATTTTCAATAGGGTTCATCATTGGGTGATCACGAACTCTCATACCCAGTTTTGTCAAAATCTGGTAAGAATTATGTCTTGTAGAGTGTTTACGAGCAATTGTGATCTGACGGGTGACGGCCATTTCATGTGGGCGTATAAAAATGAAGAGGCTTACAGCTCTTATTTCTCTCTCTTGTATACTTGATTCACAAGTATACTTTTCATCTTGGTATGGACATCGTAATTCAGCTTCTTCTGAATGTTGTACTGCTCCCATTAAACATAGTCTTAAAATATAATATTATCTAGTTATCATCCTAAGATTGTGTCTATCAAAGTTTCCTTACTATTTTTTTTTACATGAATTGGTCAATAAACATTCAAAATAACAGTCTTGATAAAAATTTGACTGCATATAGTCCAGTTGTGAAGCAAGGTCCAAACTAATGGAAAAGGGTTTCTTCGATGGCTGGTACATCAGTGTTTGTCATATGGCTTGAAGAAATATGAAACAAGAGTTTCAAAATAAAAAGAAAAATGAGAGCCCCATTCAGCCAAATACAAAACATCAAAAGCTTCAGATAAAGAAGACCTGTGGATGCCACACGACCACATAAGAAATTCCATACATGAAAAGTGGAAATTGAGCTGGTTTACATGAAAAACACTGTATAGAATATACAAGTTATACATTCTTACCTACAAAACATGTGAAGACATTCTCTCAGAACTACACCAGCTCCAATTGGTATAATGTCAAAACATATAGGACAATCAAATTCTTCATTATTAGTTATCAAATCTATATCATCTGTTTGTAGTAAGGCTGCTAAATGTTCACTTCTCTCCTCTTCTGCTCTCTAAAATCATCAAGCAATTCCCCTTGATAAGCTCAACTACTGGCAGTTCAAACCATATTCCAAGTGTTGAATCACCAATTGCAACTATTATTAACCCTTTAGATGCATTAGATTTTAGAACAACTTCCAGGCATCAGAAGCAGAACAGAACGAAAAGATTTCAATGGATTGTCTATTGGGAGTGTTTTTCACTAGCAGATACAACTGTCTATTTTGTTAAAAATGGTGTCTGCTTGGAAAATTTTAAATTGTTGAAACAAAGATTGTTGTCACTTGTGCGTATACTTTACTTGTAAATAAAACAAATGTCAGATTTTTATCTTGGAAAATGATATGGATTTCTGCAACTGAGTTTTAACATTTGATCAGATAAATATTAAGACTAAGGTTTATTTTGTGTACTTTTGAATATTTCTATTTTCATCTGATGAAACCAACCTTACGATACCATTACAATTAGTATTGACACTCTCCCCTAAATACAAGGAAGTAGAATTATATTTTCATTTTCACGAAAATGAATAGAATAACAATGGGTTCAATTATTTTTAGACAGGTTTGGGAGAAATTCTTATCTTGTATTAGATAACATATGAATTAATAATTATAAATGTTCAATCAACCTGTCAACCGTTCCATATTAAAATTTGTTTCAGTCACATTTATTTCTAACTGTAATATCTTTCAATTATAATGTAAATTTGTCATGACACACCCAATACAAATTGTTGGATTACAAACTTTTCTATAGAACACAGGAAGTAACTGTTATCTATGAATGTGAAAATAGGATTTATAGACAACTATTTTCCTTGTAAAAAATAAGGTGTTCTTAAAAACATGGCAAAGACTTTATCTTTTTATTTTAATATGACAAAGAGGAAATAAGAGAAATATCACAGTTACATTTGGTCCATTTATAAATTTCATTTCATCATTAACATTTTATTGAAATAGTCACATATTAAAATGGTGTCACAATATATAAATCATCTAGTTATATATCAACTATTCCTGTCTCTCTCTGATTTAGTTATTATTGGAGCTGGTGGTATAACATCATAATAATCTTCACTATTGAAAGCCTCTTTCTTATCTTGCTGCATTTGTAAAGCATCGTTAAATTTTAATATAATATCCATTTCTTTATCTGATAAACCTTGTTGTGTGTTAGAGTCAACTCTTTCTGTTAAATCCTGAAAAGACATTGGTATACCACCACATCAACAAGGATTATCATAAATTGGATTAATGATTACTGCAAACCATTAGAGTTAAGTTTGAGTTAAGCTCTTTCTTTCTCTCTTTTCCCCTTTGTCATTTTTAACTTTTGCTTTTTTGAAAATGTTTTACTTAATAATTTTAAGTGAATGTAAATATCAGCCTTATATTATACTGTAAATTTATAAAAAAACAAAATTTGGAAATTTATATATAATAGGAATGCAATTCTCTGAGATTAACTTTAATAAAAAAAAAAACATTTCCCTCTTTAAGAACAAATTTGAAAATGACATGTACTCATATTTATATCTTATCAATGCAAAGACTATCATTATTATTTTGCAGCTGATATTTTAATTCACATGAAAATATTCAGTAAAATTCAATTTATTAACAAGAAGACATTGGTGAAAATGTTATGGCTAATTTGACCCCTTCCTTCCCATATTCAAGAAGAATTATCTTTGTTGAATATGATTCAAAGTTATGTGTTTAAGTGGTAATAGTTTGATAGACTGTAAAAATTTAATTTAATTTTTTTTATTCATTTAAATATAATATGGCCTAGTATCTGTAAAATTATTTAGCATGCCTTTCATCCTTTAATATAAAAAAAAATTACCTGTCGCATTTCTCGTTCAATTTCTTCCTCTCTGCGAATTCTCTCTATTTCTTCATTAGGCAAAACATATTCAGTAGGTATAGTATAATCAATAGGTCTATCTGCTGAACATATCTCGCAGCCTGGTCTGGTGGGTATATTAATATACGTACATTCGTGACAAATCCATCCAATTGGCTAGACAAATAAAAATATCAATACATTGGGATATTGACTTTAAACATTCAAACTAAACACACATTCAACATTGTTTTTCTACAAAGAAAACCTGTTACAATTTAAAACAGTAACACAATACAAATAAGTACAAATTAAAGTACAAATTGTATTTAAAGGCACACCTTGATTACTTCTTCACTCTTTATACTCCTAGCAGGTTTAGGTAATTTTGGTGGAGGGATGTTAGATTGACCAGGATTTCTTGATAGCTGAACAGATGGACCTGGGTGTCTTAAGTGTTTCACTGTTTCAATCGGTTCATAAGTATTTAATGAAAGTTCAGAAGACTGCAGACTTGCTGGTGCATTTAGTCTTGGTCCTCCACTTATCATACTTGAATTTACATAGACAGAGTGATCAGTTTTCAGTCTATCACTAACATTGTCACTTTTAACTGGTGAACTCATATTCACATATTCTGAAATAGAAACAACAAAAATAGTGATCATATCTATATACACCCATTTTGGCATAATTTTAGAGGGTTTATGAAGAAATGTGAACGGCAGACTGATAGGTCCAACGTATGTTGATGTGTTGGATTTTACCCTTATTTATTTTAGTTTCATTGTTCTTAAGGTATATTTTTTGTGAAGGAAATAGTTTGATAACGATAGCGTGCCATTCAAGCAATAACCACCCCCTGGAAGCTTTGATTTTATATAAAAATATTTGACAGTCCTACAGTAACAATCACCAGTATGAAATATTCAACCTTCAGTCTTCCACTTCTTTTGAACTTTTTGAGCGGATACTGAATAATATAACCAGGTTTCGTCAAAATCTGTCAAGAATTAAGCCTTCTAGAGTGTTTATGGGCTAAAACTTGAAAGTGTTTTAAAGAACAAGGTCAATCACTCCTATAAAACATTTTTTGATCTTTTGATTTTCAATTTTCAGTTCATCCATGGGTGATGAGAAACAATTCTACCAAAATCTGTCAAGAATTGAGCCTTCTAGAGTGTTGACGAGCTAAAAATTGAAAGGACAATAATATTTTTTTATTCTTTTGATTTTCGACAGGTCTCATCTTTGGGTGATAACAAACACTTACAGCAAGATTCGTCAAAATCTGTCAAGAATTGTAAGCCCTCCATTTCATGTTGGCGTATAAATATCAGTAGAAAACTGTAGATACTATAACAGTTACAAACAAGATGGGTGCACACAACATATCAACTTAGATAAATTTGGGTTTATAAAAGAAAGTATTGAAATTCATTTATAGGCTACAGTTGCTTAATTATTTGCTTTAACATTACTGTGATAAAGTTTCAACTATAGATGACACTTTTCAGATTAAAACAATTGATGAACTTTTCTGCTACAATTCAACAACACTCTACCCAGGAATAACTCATATGGCGTTATTGACATTTTTGGCTAATATTTTGATGCCATCAGTAATAACTACATCAACAGTCGTAAATTGTACAGTACTTTAGTGCTAATTTTAGTCCTATGTTTAGTTCAATCGAATTAAAATTAGATTACAATTTTGTATCTTTTTCGTTTTCTGATATTTTCAGTCTACATTGTAATCTAAAAAGTTTTCTACCAAAAAACTGCCCCACAAGTAGTATTTTAAGCCAATCAAAGGGTGTCGTGTAGAAATTTTTTGGGCTTCCCTATCCAACAATTCATTATTTCATAGAGAAACAGAATTTACATGACACTGAGCAAAGTAAAAAAAATGTCATTATTTTTAATTGGAATAACAGCCTCAAAATAGTACTGTAACACTGTCAGAAGAAAAAGCATAGATATAAAGACTTACCACCAGAGGGTGCAGATTGATTTCTAGGTAAACTTTTACCTTAAACATAAAAAATAAGTTTTCAATACATGCAAATGTGATGATATCCTCAAATACACAGGTTTTGTCTAGTTTTCATGATCAAATGTGTACTGCCTAGAGATTCTATGGTTTGAAATATTGAAATAAACATATACATACCAACTGTAGCAAATTGCTGTTGATGTCTGTCTGTTGTTAAGTTAACAGATTTGGCACTCATTAAATAAACATATGCTGTATGACCTGTGCCACGAATTCTATGTTGATATAATGTATCACCATCAGGTGGAAGTTTCTTATCAATTATCCATTTTTGTACTTCAAGAGGAAACTTGTAAATCATAAGAAACTGAAAAAACAAACACACAAATTGGAATTTTTAACAACGTGCTGCTTCATATCACTGACTGTATGCACTTGAAGTTTTACAGGTTTTGTTTTAAACTTTGACCAAAATAAGACATTCTTGCTTAATGTTATGGTCAGTACGAAGGAAAGTCATGTTATAAAAACACAAACAGACAAAAATTTCTTTTAAATGTAAAAGAGTAAGTACCTTTAATTTCAAGTCTTTGATTGTGTCCATTGCTGTAACTTTTAGATTGATAGGACGACTTGAACCACTCTCTCTATCTTCAACATAAACTGATAAACTACAATTTATAAAGTTGGAAATACTTATTATGGATGACAGCTATAAAACTTGAGTAATGATAGGCCTTCATTTTTGCAAACCATTACAGTAATATATTTTTTCACTGATATTGGTCTATGTACAATTTCTGGACTTTCTAAAATTAGGATTCAGCAATTATTTAGACAACTGTATATATCCCTTTAATTTGGATTTGATTTCAAAAATATGGTTCTTACTTTCACAACCGTTTTAAATTTCTACCTAGACTTAATAAGTCAAATTTTACACAAGGTTATAAGAATTCAACTAAGCCAACAAATCACATTTTCAGTCTTAGAAATGGCTTTTAATGATTAGTTTTTAAAACAATGTCAATGAAGCTTACCAAAACACATCATTAGCTGATCGACCTAGAGAATTTTCATCCACTTCAATATCAAGTTTGATTCTTTCTGAAGCTAATCTACCAGCTATTTGTTTAGATTGGTCAATGTTACCATTATAAATTGCAGTTTTAAATACTTCACATATTTCTTTCACTTGTTCATAAGTCAATGGTTTCAAATTATAAGGTTTATTATCAATTGAAACAGATGAAGTACTAGAATCAATTTTGGTTGCCATATTTTTTTCTATTGTACAAGGCACAGGATGTTTAAGTAAATTTGCTATAATTTCTGGTGATACTTCTGTAATAAAAGAAAAAAATGCACTTAAAGGCCATGATCCACCATTTCGGAGGTTGGTTTTGGTCATGAATATATAAGCTTATACAAATAGTCTTAAAGTGTAAAAAAAAAAATACTTGAAATGTCTGAAATCACATAATTCCTTCAATAATTCCTCAAACTAGGCTTCTTTCTTACTATAGTTAACCTTCTAATTTGTGCAAGATATTGTTGATTTAAACAAACACATTATTTAATAAAAATTCTGACATAAACTGTCACCTCTATTGCGTTAATAAGCCAACAAATTTTGAAAGTCAATGGCAAAAACTGAAATTCTGTTGATCAAAAAATCATCAAATTCAATCTTGACTAAGATCTCATCATTATAAATGATCAACTAAATTTCATTAAAATCGGATGAAAACTGTAGTCTCTCTAGTGTTCCCAAACAAATTTTAACACGTTTTGTCCTAAGCAAAGGCAATAACTCAAAAACGATCATCGAAAGATGAAAAAAATTCAAATTTGTCTTAGATCTCATCATTATACTTGATCACACCAAATTTCATTAAAATCTGATGAAAACTGCAGTCTCTATTGATTTCACAAACAAATTTTGAAGCATTTTACTAAGTCAAGGGTAATTACTCAAAACCATTCATCGAAAAATCGTCAAATTCGATAAAAATGATTTCATTAAAACCAAATAAGAACTGTAGTCTCTATTGTGTTCACAAGCTAATTGGGGACGGAAGGAAGGACGGACGGACAGTGGCGACAACAATATACGACCACATTATAATGTGGGCATATAAAAGTGTTCATCTAAAACAGGGTAACTTTAAACTTGATAGAGATCTTATCAATATATGCATGTATACAGCGTTTCAAGATCAGACTGTAAAAAAAAGGTTCATCCAAGTATAGCCAAATTCAAACTTAATTGAGGCCTTATCAATTTATTCAACATCGTGTCCAAACCACGCCCCAATTCGTCATACTTCCTCAAGACCGTGGAAATATAAGTACGAAAAATTACATATTCATAGCTGAATATTGACCAATCAGAATTGCACCTGTTGTCTTGTTAGTAAAATTTCAGCCAATCAAAACAAATCACTTGTTATGACGCAATGTTGTCTTTTGTTTGTATGGCCTCATTTACGTTCTACTGATCTGATTGGTCAGATTCAAATAGCAGCAATTTCATTTCCACGCTCGCATAACGGGTTAATGAGACCATGTCAAAACCCATACTCGTGATATGATGTACATACACATGCATACCAAGTTTCATGAGGATCAGATGAAAACTGTACCCCTATCGTATTAACAAGCCAAATATGATGCTATTTGTAATAAGTGTAATAACTTAAAATCCTTTCATCTAAAAAGAGCCAAATTCAAACTTGAACGAGATCTCATTAATATATACATGTTATGCATACCAAGTTTCATTAAGATCAGATAAAAACTGTAGCCCCTTTAGTGTTTACAAGAAATGTGAATGGACGGACAGATGGGGCGACAGCATTATTTGTCTACGTTTCCATGTGGGCGTATAAAAAGGTTTCATAATTACCATTATATTCCTCAGATGAAGAATGCTCTGTATCAAAATGAGTTATTACATAGTTTTCAAACAGATGATGGACTACAGGTATAACTGTTTGAGTAAATAAGTTTCCACGATATCGATCATGTAACTTTATCACAATTTGTTTTTCTCTACTATCTTCATAACAGATATAAATTATATGATATCTAATATTGTGTACAGTTTGAATGGTGTAATTTAATTTGCCTCCAGGTGGTTGTTTTAAAGGTACTTTCAAAAATAATTGATTCTGAAAAAAGAAAACAGAATTAGTCAATCTTGATAACAAGTGGTTGCCTAGCAAGATACGCCCACTTTCCTGATAAATTTTCAGTGTATCAAAGGCGCTCGCCAATCTGTGTTAAATCATACCAAAAATCTAATTTGTACAAGATATTGTTGATTTACTAATCAAACTCAAAATTTCATAAAATTTGGACATAAACTGCCGATAAATTTTGATCTTTACTAAGTCAAGGGCAATAACTCAAATTCCATTTATTGAAAAATCGTCAAAACTTGACCGAGATCTCATTGTAATAGATGATCACACCAGATTTCATCAAAATCAGATGAAAACTGTATAGTGCTCACTTGAAACAAATTTTGATGCTTTTTTACTAAGTCAAGGGCAAAAATTCGAAAAACATTCATCGAAAAATTGTCAAATTCAAACATTTAATTCATATGAAAACTGTAGTCTCTATTGTGTTCACAAACAAATTTTGATCCGTTTTTCCTAAGTCAAGGGCAATAACTGTTCATCGAAAGTTCATGAAATCGGAACTTGTCCAAGATTTCATCCACATAAATAATCACACCAAATCACATTAAAATCAAATAATAACTGTAGTTTCTTTGTGTTCACGAAAAAATTTTGATAAAAACTGTAGACTCTTTTGTATTCACAAGTCAATTGTGGATGAACGGACAGATGCAACGCAATATACGACCACAATATAATGTGGGCATATAAAAACAGTTATTGTTTATTAATACTAGTTAATAACTTAATTTAACATGAAACACGTCCAACATTACACTCTTTGATTGGTTAAATATAGATTGACCATTTGAACACGATTGTAGTAGAAAAGTTGTAAGATTACAATTAAGAAAAATATAATAATCTGTTTTCAATTACTTTGAATTGGAAACTCTTCCAAAGCAAAACAGATGAACAAGATACTATAGAGACGAAAAAGACACAAAATAAACAAACTTGTATTTTTGAAATAGATTGGTAATGTAGGAAATGTTAAAAGATAGCTTGCCAGGCAAGGTAACATACGCCCACTGGCAGCTGTCAGAAATGATTAAACAGTCTTTAGTGACTACAGGGTTGCACAATATAGCTAATAGAGTGAAACATCAAGTCAGACACAATATTTCGGTTAAATATTATCCGATCATCGCGAAAATCGATAGGGATCATCTTCATAATGACATTGACATACAAAATAAAAATCAAAAGAATCTGTAAAGAATTGTAGCCTGTAGAGTGACCACGAGTTGCACAATATAGCTGGGCAATTCCATGCCAAAGTAAACATTATTTCAAAAAATGAAATTTACTATTAGTTTTACACCAATAGCATTTAATGATAGAAAATGACATATATTTTAGAAATAAATTGATTTTTTGATGAAAAAACTTCTTATAAAAATTTTTCTGCCCTTTTTCTTAAAGTGTGTATTTCAATAGATAAAAATGAAAAATTTAGTATTTTGTTGTCTGAAGTGTGAAGGCCATTATTTTAGAATTTCTTAAAAGTTTTTAAGTTAATTTGTTAATAATTTATGTCTAAATATTATATTTTACACACAAATAACTAAATTTTTCATTTTTATCGAATTGCGGAACTTTAAAAATGTTTAACTTGAAAATGTACGTCCGTTACCAAATATTTACAATTTTCTCTATCTAAAACACATTTATTAAAGGAACTGTCTTAAAATTCATATTCAAAGTCAGATATGTACATTTTTATTATGTAAACCATAAAAAATGCAGATTTGTTGAAATTTTCAAAATAAATTGAGTTTTCATGCACGTACGTCCGTTACCTTTTTATCCTATGTACGTCCGTTACCAAAATTAAAGGTCATATACATTATGTATATATATCTTCAGCTGAGATTCAGCAAGATATAACTTACCTGGATCAAAGATGGGCCAATGTGCGGTTGATACCTGGAACTCAATCCGTTCATAAGGTTATGTCCTGTGATGATGGATTGATTAAAGTTTCCATGGTTGCAACTGGCAACCTTATCACGCACAAAATAAGAGATCCAGCAGATAGTGCCATACAAGACGTAGATAAGTCCACTGCACAAAATAATGTTATATGTCTGGTTCCAAGTGATTGGGCCATTGTTAAATATGATAGCCTTTCTTTCCTGGAGAAGTTGTACAAATTATAGAGAATGACATT